AACACTGATCAGAGAAAAATAACTGACAGTGTCAGTGCTATGGATAGGCCCCGGAGGATTATGAGATCAAGGATGATGGAGAAACCTGCATGTACATTCCAAGGACAAATTGACCATAAAGAGTTGTGAAGGGCCATCTAGCTAAATTGAGGGAGAACAGCAGATGACTCAGTAGGTGGCCTAGACCATCATCATAAACTCATGCAGGAGATTGCTGGTCTGGACACATTAGCAATGAGCAGCTAGTGACATTAGCAGAAATAAACAGATTTTTTTTAATGCATCACTGACTCGCCTTGTGACCAAAACAAAAAGATTAGAGGCTTCTTTGATGTCCTGTCGGTGTCCTATTGTCTGTGATTGCCAGTTCATTTCTGATTGCCCAAGTGATCTTTATTGCTCGTTTGGTTTTCGTGTGTTGGCAGCTTCTGCCAGTCCACAACTTGCTATCTTACTAGACCCTTTAGCTAGCTGAGGCATCAGATGGATGGAGATTCTTAGCTGGCCAACACTCTCTTTGGGGGAATTACCTGGGGGGTGGAGACTGATATGGTAATTTATAAATAGAGCCTGTATTTCCTCCTGGATATGAAAGAGGAACACCCAGAACTGGGCCAAGAGAAATGGCAGGCACTCGTGCCAGTGTCATGGCTGATGGTACGGAAGCAATAACAGTGGAAGATAATTTACAAATCTCAAGGCAATCATTTTCATCAACAGTTGGCTCAGAACATAGTCTCTCAGCAGCGCTGAACCATGTTGAGATGGCAGAGACCAACATGTCGACTCATGGAGACATCCCACCTCAGGCCATCCCACCTCAGTGACTCTGCACCAACAGCACTAGTTGTGGAAGGGGCCAGTGCCCTGCTGTGCTTCCAGTTGCTACTGCTGCTCAACACAGTGGCCAGCTATTGTGGGTCCATTCTCAGCTAATCTCAGAGCCACTGTGGAAAACACTGAGGAAAAAAAAGGGAGTGAACCCTCCATCCTGTCCCGTGACCTACCCCATTGAATCTTGTACATTGCAGCTCATTTTCCCATTTGAACTGAATGTCTGTGTATTCCTTTGTCCTCTTTTTCTGTACTCATAAGAGCGGCCATACTGGGTCAGACCAAAGGTCCATCTAGCTCAGTATCCAGTCTTCCAACAGTGGCCAATGCCAGGTGCCCCAGAGGGAATGAACAGAACAGGTAATCATCAAGTGATCCATCCCTTGTCGCCCATTCCCAGTTTCTGGCAAACAGAGGCTAGGGACACCATCCCTGCCCATCCTGGCTAATAGCCATTGATGGACCTATCCTCCATGAATTTATCTAGTTGTTTTTTGAATCCTGTTATAGCCTTGGTCTTCAAAACATCCCCTGGAAAAGAGTTCCACAGGTTGACAGCTAATTTAGACCCCATCATTTTATATGTTTAGTTGGGATTATGTTTTCCAGTTTGCATCAGTTTGCATTTATCAACATTGAATTTCATCTGCCATTTTGTTGCTCAGTCACCCAGTTTTGTGAGATTCCTTCGTAATGCTTCGCAGTCTGCTTTGGACTTAACTATCATGAATAGTTTTGTATCATCTGCAAATTTTGCCACCTCACTGTTTACCCCTTTTTCCAGATAATTTATGAATATGTTGAACTGTACTGGTACCAGTACAGACCTCTGGGGGACACCACTATTTACCTCTCTCCATTCTGAAAACTGATTGTTTATTCCTACCTTATGTTACTGCCTCCCCCATATTATTTATAAACTTCACTCTTGCATCCTTGACTTTTCTTTGATATTGTCATGGGGTCCACTTACCGTTGATCGTGCCTCCTCCTGGCCGTCCTGGGGATTAACTCTGCCAGGTGCCGCCTTCCTCTGGCAGTGTCCATACCCGTTGTCCTTTCTCACTTCCAGGCCCATCTCCCTCTGAGAACCACAGCCTCCTCTTCATGACTCGGCATTCCGTCCAGGTCATTATGTAGTTCCCCCTTGCGTGCTCCACAAAGTATTTCTGAAACAAATTTTCCCAGCCAGTCCACTGTCCTTTGCCTGGTCTATGCCGTGTGCCCAGGAGCTGGTAAGGGAACCAGGGAGCCTTCTACTCTGGCTTCCAGCTCAGGGGCCCTCCAGTCAGCAGCTAAGACCTGCATTGTCCTACCTTGCTGCTTTCCCCCTGGGCCTTTTCTACCTTCCTGGTTCCCCCCTGTTTTGCCAGCCTCCCAATTCCCTTCTCCCAGGGAGTTACTGCAGCCTATTTCCCTGCAACCCCCTTCTGCTTTCAGGGCTTTATGCAGGTCCCTCGGTTCCTGTCTAGCTGAGCCTCCCTATCTAATCAAGTCCCTGTGCCCTGGCTCCTCCTTCAAGTGCAGCCTGGGCAGTTAGGTAGGGGCAATAACCCCTTCCAATCTTGTGTGGGGTGGACACCCCATCACAGATACTTACCTCATTTCTGTGTAAATTAACAGTTCATTTCAGAATTCCTCCTTGGATTCCAGTTCTTCGTCAGAGTGAACAAGGCTCTGTGCCCATCTTTATCCTCATTGTCCTTCTCTTCTTCTGCCTCATCTAGGATGACTCCAGCCATATGTGTCTGTTCATGTGGCTCTGTCTGTGGCTCGTGCCTCAGCTGCTGCTGCTTTTGTATAGGATATGAGGTCAGCAAAGGCAGTACTGAGTAAAAACTAGCTCAGCCTATTCCCTTGCGACTTCACGTGCTTAATCCTCTAATTTGTGTGTCTAAATTGGCTTGAGTCCGAAAATATTATGTTGCCTGTCCTTGAAGCCACTCCCACAATCCTGTCCTTTTGTGTATACTCATCCTTTTGCATTGTACAGGGACTGTATGTACCCAACTGTCCCTTTTGCACTTATTCCTTGCTTGGACTATGGAATAAATGTGCCTATGGGGATTTGTGTGTGCAATTTTTTGAAAATTTAGCCCTTCATAGAATCCTAGAATATCAGGGGTGGAAGGGATCTCAGGAGGTCATCTGGTCCAACCCCCCTGTTCAAAGCAGGACCAATCCCCAACTAAATCAACTCCTTAACTCCTGGGTACCTCAGTTTTTTCCATATGTAAGGTGGTATATAATGCTTCCTCTCCTCTCAGAGAAGAAGGGCTGCCAACCCTCTGGGATTGTCCTGGAGCCTCAAGGAATTAAAGATTAATCTTTAATTAAAGATTGTCATGTGATGAAATCTCCATGAATATCTCCAACCAAAATTGGCAACCCTAAAGTGTGAGGCTTAACTATTCGTTTTTACAGATTGCATTGAGATCTTCACATGGAAGGTATTATAGAAATGATAAGTATTATAAACGAAATCACTTGTTGAAATTATCTGGTCTGTGCTATGCAAGAGGTCAGACTAAATTATCATAATGTTCCCTTCTGGCCTTCATATGTTATATTGAAAAAAATATTAATTATTATATATATCTGTACAATCTATACTGGCAATCCTATATTGAGGCCTTGTATTGAGGACGTGAAATATTTCCATTTCTGCAGTTTGTAGTGTTATACTTTGATATTAAGAAATGCTGTGAATGATAAAAAGGAAGAGTTAATGCCCTCCTTGATGAATCAATTATGGTTTTGTGTGGTAAAGGCAGTTATGCCTTGAAAAAAGATTATGTAAAATGGGCGGCACCCTTCTCAACAGATCTGTTCTTTTCGTGTAATCTGAGTCATATTTACTTAATTTAGTGACAAAAGTAAGGTTTTACTGTTTTTTCCTGTTATACCTGGTCTACATACAAATTTTGTATTGGTGTAGTTATATCAGTTGGGGGATGCTTTTTTAGTCATGGTTATACAAGAACAATCCAGAGTGGATGCAGTTATACTGGTATAAATGTGCTTATACCAATGTAGCTTATTCCCTTTTCCATATGGGAATAAGATGTATTGACATAAACATATTGATACCATTATTACTGTGTTGACATTTGGGAGGGGGGGAGGTGTGCCACTTTATCTATAGTTTTTGTATGAAGACAAGCCCTAAGTCATGCAAAGCCAACACAGCTGAAACTGAGTAAGCTGGATTCTATTCACTTTTGCACATGATCAGTAGAGTTACTTACTAATTTCCAGTTAGTTACACCTGTAAATCCCAATTGGAAACACCAGAGTTATACAGGTGTAAGTGGAAGACATAATTTGTCAGTAGATTTAATAGTCCTAGTGGTGACATGCAAGATGTCAATAATTCATTTGAACTCTTTCCAAGGATGAGTTTTCAGAACAGGAACTCAGAAAAGAAATGATTTTACTTGTAAAATCAGCATATTTGATACAGAAATCAATCAGGGAGAATAAATGTGAATCCCCATTATGCCATTTTTTTAGAGGGTCTGTTTTTACAGTAGATCTTCACGTTAGGGCACAAGACTGGGTATCAGGAGACTAGCCCCAACTTTAAGCACTAGGTACTGATTCTAGAAAGTTTCCCTATTCAGTAAAGCAGTTAAGCATTTGCTTAACATTAAGCATGTGCATTGAAATCAATGGGAGTTAAGCACATACTTAAAGCCAAGCAGATGCTTTAATGCTTTCTTGAATTGGGGCCACAAGTTTGAAAAATTTACTCTTCTAAATTCATAATTAGGCCTCTTAAGTGGCCTGATTTCCAGAGATGCTGAGCACTTGCAAATCCACTTACTTAAATGAAGATTGATGGTGGTCAGCAGAATTGGGCACTTAATTTCTCCTTGCCTCAATTTCCTTTGCAAAGAAGGGGGATCATACTTAGTCAAAGGGCTGTTTCGCAATCGAAATTCATTAATATTTGTAGGATGTATTAACTTCCTTCCATGAAAGCACTATATATGTATAAAATGTTTTTATTTATGCCTATTGGGAGGAAGAGAAATGCTAATTATAATACCTTTGAATGAAGCATACTTCTCAAAGCTAGTAGTATAATGTTTCAGGATGCTAGTACTATAAATTATCAGGATGCCAGTCTGAAATATTAGTGTTCTTTTATTTCTTTTTTGCAGCTGCAAGAAAACCAAGATGAAATCGAAAATATGATGAACTCTATTTTTAAGGGTATATTTGTTCATAGATACCGGTAAGAGAATGAGCACTGTAGAAGGCCTTATTTGCCAAATTTAATTAAAAAATTATGTTGATTTTCTTGTGGTGTAACATTCTAGGTCCCTCCAAAATGAAACTAAAACCATTATAATCTTTGAGGTTAAGGAAGAGAATTTAGGTGTCTCCCAGACAACCTTAATTTGGTCCTAAGTAACACCATAGGGGAGGGAAAAAAATGAAAAAAGTGAATTCAGTGTTAAAATGCAGTTTCAGTTAAGGTGGGACCACAAAGACTGAAATGCCTTAATAATAATAGCCATATGGTTATTTTATGTTGTACAGAGCAAAAAAGTTAATTGGGTGCCTTCACTGTACATTTACATGCCTTAACATTTTGGATGTCTTTTAAGGTTAATCTTAACTCTGAATTTTCTGGATTTGTAATTCTTGTTTTAGCTACAATTATAACCATTATTTTAGTGGTTTTTGTCCATAAATTCCTGATGTGTACTCTCCATCTTAATTCCAATTTAACAATGTTTTTACTTGGGAATTTTGGGGGGGCTTTAAATTATTGTTAGAGCCAGATAAACCAACAGGTTCTGGCAGCTTTGTGCTACTTTGGAGCAGTGCAAATCAATCAATTTACAGTGGCCAGTTAAAAATGGATTTATGGCTGCTTCACAGATACTGGTGAATTTGTTCCTTATTTTACAAATGATTGCTTGGTTTATTTATGTAAGACAAGTTAATATTTTAACATTGTAATTAATTGTTAAAAAAACATGTAAACTTGCCAAGTAAGCTTCCCGGATATGAAACTGTGGAATTTAACTGTTTTAGTCATAAAGAAACATATGTTGTTCTACTTTAACATTTTGGTTGTCTATGAAAGCCTTGAGACAGATTGGGCAAAAAGGAAACAGTGGGTGGGTGAGAGTGGGGATGTCTGGGGGGTGTGTGAACAGAAATATGTGGGAATGATAGGAAGTTGGTTGGAGATGGCAAGGGGAAGGGGAATCCGAGGTTTCTGCATGGGTAAGGTGGACAGAGGAATTTAGTGGTAATGTTAGAATAGGGGGAGAAGACCAGACATGTGCATGGGTCTTATGGAGGATGGGTTATGTGCAGAGGGGCCTGGATTAGGGAGAGCAATGCTGTGAACTGGGCAGGTGTCTGAGGTGGGCTCTCAGGCCTTTGATGCCAAGGCATGGTGCTTGAAAGGCTACTCATGGCAATGTTGCCTCAGCTTAATTGAGGGATCTCTGCTGGGGAAGCTAAGGCAGGAAAGTAGAGGGAGCCCTTAAAAGACTGAGGCACTGGGACTCAGGGTCTGGGATCCCCTCACCTCTTTGAATAGCACTGATTTCCCTAATATAGCCCTCTTCTCTGCAAACAACCCTTTTGCCCCTAGGAACCTTGCTTCCTTTTGCCCCGCACATCCACATTCTGTCCGCCTCCCACATAGCCTCATTTACTATCTGCTTGGTTCTTTCAACACTAGAAAGCAGCACTATGAAAAACAGGAGAGTGGCCAAGTGCTTGGAGGGCAGGGATGTGTGAATGAAGATGTGAAGGGGCACTAGGGAAAGGGCAGCAGGTCTCTGAAATGTTGGGAAGTAGAGAAGAGGATGTCCAGGGTCGTGGGCTTAGTAGGGATATGAACATGATATTGCATTCAAAGGATTTGAGGGTTTTTTTTGCATTTGTGTTGTGATGGAAATAAGGTGGCTACCCTGCTTCCGTGCCTACCTCTTAGGGTCTGCGATTGTGATTTGTCAAGTAGTCTACAGTGAAAGAGATGAGCTGGCACTGTGGCGTCATGTAGCCAGATTTGATGGTGCAGACTAGAACATGGATCTCTTATTGGAAACCAGATTATGATTGAGAATTCCTCTGCCCACTGACATTGAACTGCATAAACTGAAGCTCCTGGGGCTTGATTGTGCTCTGACCTCATTGTAAAGACATTAGAGTTATACCACTGAAGTGGGCATAACTCTAACTCTAAAACTGGTCTGAGAGCAGAATCAGACTGTGTTGGTATGTGCCTTTGCATTAGCTCTAAATGAGAACTCCAGATCCATCTATGAGTAGGAAGGCAAGCTGATGTGTAATGGATTTATTAAGTGTTGGTCTACTGCTGAACCAGATGCCTTGGATGAGAGAGGTTTGTTTGACACTCCCCAACATTGTTGGTGTTATGATGTGGGAGGAGTCAGAGCTTGCAAATCACCTCCTTTTAGTGCAGAAAGGGGTCATAGAGATACTTTAGGTTTTGAATTACATAACTAACATGAAGATGGGGGATCTTGGTCCTGTCACCAAACAGAGGGAGGAAAATGCTCCTCTCTCTGCTAGTAGCAGTTTTGAGAGATTTTGCAGCCCTCACCCCCACCCACGCATTGTGGTGGCATAGCCTGTAAAAAAACAAAAAAAAATTCCATGCTCCATTGGATGGAAGAGTAACACTTAAAGCTTACTTATTGGTCCATTCTCCCACTGATGGTGGTGGTGGGAAATAATTGTAGCTGCCATTGCTGCTAAGGGATAGTAGAGAGGAATAGATGTTTTTTCATAGACTACCCTGTCGATTCAAGCACCTTCTCATGCTGCTGCCAGCAATGGAAAACTCTTGTTTCTGTCAGTGTAGTTTTTGGGAAGGAGAAACCTGATGGATGACTTCTTGTCTGCGGACAAGGGGCATATGCCAGTATTCACACAGCTGGATCTATGAGATATTTGCAGCCATTGATTATGGGATTGTGCTGTCTCGCTATACAGATTTAGCAGAGGTTATGGGGATGTGTTGAGAGGGTCATAATAGGCTGCTGCTGTGCCTGCCTGCAAAGCCCTTACCTGTGAAGTTAATCCGGGTTCAATCCTCTCTCCAATCTCTTCACTTTGTATGAAGCAATTTGGAGAGATAGTGAGATGACATGGACTGAAATGCCAGCAGTATGTGGACAACATAATGCATTACATCCAATTCCAGCTGCCCCAGCTCTGCTAGTGCCCAAGGAACATAAACACTTGAATGAAGGGCAGCTGACCGAAGCCAAACCCAGGCAAAAAGAAAGTGATAGCAGTGAGGAGAGGGAAGCATTTCAAAGAATTCTCCCTCTCCATAATGGCCTTAAGGCTTTCTTCCCACGGATGGTCAAGATGGTCTATAGACTTGGGGTCCTTTTAGTCTCCTCACTCCATATACAGGTAGTTATGATTGCAAACAATGCCTTTTCTATGTACAATTAGCTAGGACATTCTTCCCCATCCTGTTGGATTCATACTCCGTCACAGTAATCTATGCATTGGTGATCCCCAGGTTTGATTAGGAGTGAAACTGTTGACCTAGAAAGGTTCAGCTGGTTTGGAATACAGCCTGCCTATGTAGCAACATAGGGTGTTGAGTCTATCATTCTAGTCCTTTACACTGGGTTCTCATTGAATATTGAGTCAAATGGAAGATTTCAGTACTGATAACTTATTGGAAAAGGTAAAGAGAAGGGCAACAAAAATGATTAAGGGTATGGGACAGATTCCATCTGAGTAGAGAGTAAAAAGACAGGAACTTTTCAGCTTGGAAAAAAGAGCACTAAGAGAGGATATGATAGAGGTATATGAAATCATGAATGGTGTGGAGATAGTGAATAAGGAAGTGTTATTTACCCCTTCGCGTAACAAAAGCACCAGGGGTCACCCAATTAAATTGATAGGCAGCCGGTATAAAATAAACAAAGGAAAGTACTTCTTCACACAATGCACAGTCAACCTGTGGAACTCGTTACAGGGGATGCTGTGAAGGCCAAAAGTATATAAAAAAGATTTAGATAAGTTCATGGAGGACAGGTCTATCAACAGGTGTTAGCTAAGATGGTCAGGGATGCGACCCCATGCTCTGGGTGTCCATAGGCCTCTGACTGCCAGATTCTGGGAATGGACTACAGGGGATGGTTTCAGAGTAGCAGCCGTGTTAGTCTGTATCTGCAAAAAGAAGAACAGGAGTACTTGTGGCACCTTAGAGACTAACAAATTTATTAGAGCATAAGCTTTCGTGGACTACAGCCCACTGGACAGAACTGGAACAGAACTGGAACTGGAACAGAACTGGAACAAATTTATTAGAGCATAAGCTTTCGTGGACTACAGCCCACTTCTTCGGATGCATATATGCATGATTTCATATACCTCTATCTTATCCTCTGGACAGAACTAGGAACTGGACAGAACTGGAACAAATTTATTAGAGCATAAGCTTTCGTGGACTACAGCCCACTTCTTCGGATGCATATATGCATGATTTCATATACCTCTATCTTATCCTCTCTTCGGGATCTGTA